GGAAGATCTTCTGCTGTGGATGTGGCTCCTGTTCCTCTTTCAGCTGAATTCTGGACATTGAGTGTGTTTCATCTAATACTACTATACTATACTACACCATACTGTACTATACTATACTGTATTATACTACAACTATACTACACTTTACTATATCGTACTATACTGTACTGTACTATACTGTACTATACTACGACTTTACTATACTGTACTATACTACACTATACTATATTATACTATACTCTACTATACTGTACTATACTATACTACATTCCTGATCTGCTGTGGTGGTTCTGCAGTTGCTGGAGTAACACATCAGCTACAGTAATGTAAGCACGTGCCCCAGTACTGTGGTTTGCAGGTGCATTATATACTGCAATAGAGCACTGTTTACTGCAGTACAGCCTGAAGTCGCCTGTTCATGTCAGTTAATCAGTTCACCATAATGCAGCGTGTACAGCACTGCCGGAGCCTTCACTAACAGCTGTAGATACTGTCGGGTATACTGTACTGTAGTGTGCTGCACTAACTCTGGGTTTAATGTGACGCCTGTAGTGTTTCCATGTGCTGTGCTTTACACTCTTCTCCTTCTTCCAGCTCTGTGCTCAGGGCGCTTCACGTCTGCTGGAGATGCGATGAGGTGAAGCTGTGGATAAACACAGAGGAAGAGGACAGACATCTGTTTACAGAGTTCAAGATGACGAGAGTGAACAGACGGACTCCCGACTCCATCCTCCAGCCTGATCTCGCTCACTCTACAGCAGATATGATCAGCTCAGTGTACATATACAGAGCCCAGAGCTGCGGTGAACAGAGGAGACACACAGCTGACTGATGAGGATGATCAGAGATGTGTGTGTGTGTGTGTGTGTGTGTGTGTGTGTGTGTGTTCTGCCCTCTGCGGAGTGGAAGACTAGTGATTTTGTTGTGAAAATGAACAAAAACCAACAACAAACCGCAGTCGTCCTCTCAGCACGGGGCCCACACCTGCAGAGCACAGAGAAGAGCCTGATGCAGAGAATAAACCCAGACGGACAGATAAGCTGTGTGTGTGTGTGTGTGTGTGTGTGTGTGCGTGTGTGTGTACTGATGAGCAGAGGCTTCTCCAACACCTCCTCTGAGCTCATGTGTGATGTGTGATGGACACAGAAGCCTGCGAGATGTGTGTGTGTATCGTCATCTCTGCTGTTCATAATACAATATAGAACAGTGAAAGACGATCACTCAATAAAACCCGCGCAGTGTATGCTGGTCTCTCTCTCTCTCTGTCCTGTGTGTGTGTGTGTGTGTGAGAGAGAGAGAGAGAGTATGACTATATTTAAAACACACACACTTAAAATATCTGATGTGCAAATAAGCCCGTTCTGGGATCAGTTTAAGCCCGCAGTGCCTACACACACACACATGCCACAGGGCTTGATCACACATTCCGTGTTTACACCACTCCGCTCGAGCTCCACCAAACGACTGACGGGGATTGTAGTTCAGCAAGTGGCTCAACTGCGGCAGGAGCCTGAGCGAAGGCTCGCCTGTCGACTACGTTTCCCACAAACCTTCGCGCAACGAGGTTTTCGGTCGACGAACGTCCGATCGTGACGCCTGACTGTAGTTGTAGTTCTTAGCTCCGTTCGCCCTGCGCACAGACCCGACACGCGAACTACAATACCCAGCATCCCGCGCGCCGCTGGTAAACAGAGCTGTCAAACAACACCGACGCCATTTCAACAACAGCCTTAAAATGGCAGTAAAATACAGAGCTCGCGCCGCCGCCGCCTGAAGACGAGCCAAATCACGGCGGATTAACGGAGAGCGGCGGGCGGCGGGAGGATGGACATCAGCGCGGCGGTGTTTAACGCCGCGAGAGACGGAAAGCTGAAGCTGATGCAGAAACTGCTGATCAACAAGAGCCCGGAGGAGCGCGCGGCGCTGGCGGAGGAGCGCACCGAGGGAGGGACACCGCTGCTGATCGCCGCGCGCTACGGCCACCTGCCGGTGGTGCACTTCCTGCTGGAGCGCTGCGGCGCCAACGTGGAGCTCGGCGGATCCGTTAACTTCGACGGGGAGACGATCGAGGGCGCGCCGCCGCTGTGGGCCGCCTCCGCCGCCGGGCACCTGCCGGTGGTCAAGGCTCTGCTGGAGCACGGGGCGTCCGTCAACAACACCACCCTCACCAACTCCACCCCGCTGCGCGCCGCCTGCTTTGACGGACATCTGGAGATCGTGCGCTACCTGGTGGAGCACCAGGCGGACCTGGAGGTGGCAAACCGGCACGGGCACACCTGCCTGATGATCTCCTGCTATAAAGGCCACCGTGAAATCGCACAGTTCCTGCTGGAGAAAGGAGCCGACGTCAATCGCAGGAGCGTCAAAGGTGGAGTTCTGCTATTATCACTGATCATATACACCTGCAAACTCATCACTGCACACCTGCAAACACATCACTGCACACCTGCATCCTCATCACCTGCATCCACATCACTGCACACCTGCATCCTCATCACTGCACACCTGCAAACACATCACTGCACACCTGCATCCACATCACTGCACACCTGCAAACACATCACTGCACACCTGCATCCACATCACTGCACACCTGCATCCATACCAAAGTGTGTACATGCACAATATTCACATCACACACTCTGCAGTGTTGATAATTACCCAGAATGCCATGAAAACAGGCGGTGTTGCTGACATGGCATTACACAAAAGCACATTATGATGATGATGATGATGATGATGATGATGATGATGATGATGATTATCCAGGAAGCAGCAGCAGTTAACCCCACTACACTGTGACTAATATCTGCTCATGGAGAGTATGAAGTGCATTATGGGATGTTGATCTCTGCTCTGTTCACTCTGCAGTCTATGAATATTATTCTGTATAAGAGGTCAGATCCAGAGGAGTAAGAGTGTAGATCAGCAGATAGAGTGCTGCAGTTTAGTGTAATACACAACACCGACACACACTCCACAGCACTGCACACCAACACACATGTGCAGGACACACTCTCCATCACACTGTTCAAGGCTAATGGCCGCTGGAGGAATTGAGCTGAAGGGTGTTTCAGCACATGCTAGCAGATGCTAGCGCCTTAACAGAGATTATTTGTATTTGATAGCAGGACTATATTGATTACACTGTGGTACAACTTCACATTATTAGACATTCTTCCTCAATACTGTTGGAATATCCAGAATCCCTGAAGCAGGCTCTGTTCATCCTGTGTGTGTGTGTGTGTGTGTGTGTGTGTGTGTGTGTGTGTGTGTGTGTGTGTGTGTGTGTGTGTGTGTGTGTGTGTGTGTGTGTGTGTGTGTGTGTGTGTGTGTATTCATTCTGTTATTCTTCATGATCAACACACTCCTCATGCGTTCCCTACACAACTGTCATCATGTCAAATTCTGAATATCGTCCAGATGAGTTCCTTACATCAGCTTATGGAGCGACAGTAATATCTGAAATAAACAGCTTTGACTCAGGACAGTGGATCAGTCTTCAGCTGCAGACAGACACTGAATAATCCTGACAAATAAGAGTGCAGACGCCTTTACTCTGTACATCATTCAACAAACAGACTCTATTCAAGTTCAGCATGTGCAGATGATCACAGACGCTCCGTTATGGAGAAACTCCACAGTGGTGTGTGTGTGTGTGTGTGTGTGTCTCTCCTCAATATAAACTCAGCACTGCAGGTCCTGTGAGGTGGATATCGCTGATACACACATTGCGATGCTGAAACCGTATATTGTGCTGCCTTATGCTGAGTTCAGGCTGGGGGTGTTGACAGTAGTCGTGTCACAGGTGTGTTCACACTGCATGACTCTGTGGGTTAGTGCTCCGTCACTGCTGTGTTCGGCGACCGGACGCTTCACACTGCATGACTTTACTATAGGAAGATTCACGACAACTTCATTCAAACTACGTCTCACAACCAAACACACGTCGCATATCTTTTGTTATTAACCACATAATGAGACAGAAGACTTTACATTTAGTCATTTAGCAGACACTTTTATCCAGAGCGACTTACAAATGAGGACAAGGAAGCAACTTACACAACTATAAGAGCAACAGTGAAGAAGTGCTGTAGGCGAGTTTCAGGAGTGTGAAGTGTAAGAAGTAAAACATTAGTATTTTTGTTTTTGTGGCAGTTAGTGGAGGAGTCAGAGAGGAATTGCAGATTAGTGAGGGAAGTGGAGACTAAATAGTTGAGTTTTTAGTGGTTTCTTGAAGACAGCGAGTGACTCTGCTGTTTAATGGTAAATGTACATATGTGCTCATCTGGGTTTGAAGGGAATCAGCGGATCCTCCTCACCTTTTTCTCTTTTGACCCGGTTGTGATTTTGCTCATGACACTTAAAACAGACACACTGCTGCTGCCTAATATACACTAGTTTATCCTCCATTTCTTGGGTCCTAATAAACTGAAGATGAGCACTTTTCACTTCTCCTCATCCTCCCGCTGGCCTGCAGGTACACACACACACACACAC